CAGCACTTGTACACATTGGGCAGCCATCAGAACCTTCTTTCCACAAAGGACCCCAGAGCAGGAAATTTAATTACAAAATTCCTTTTGCACTTTCGCCACTTACCACATCAAGACAGCCACACTGATAAGGGTTTCTCTCCTTCCAAAGTGTGTCTCAGATACAGCACCTAGTGTTGAAAAGCATGAGTAACAGCTTCCAGCAGGACCAACCGCGCAAGCAAACGCATCGCAAGGGTTAGTGAAGCTCAGAACAGCATCTACACGGGCAGAGCAGACTTGAGTCACACACACAAGGATGAAGCTCAGGGCCTGACTCCACAAAACATGGAAGATATGGAATAATCTGGATGTGTTGAACAGTCCTGACCATCAGTAGCAAACTCTGGACAGAAGCAGGAGGGCTCCTGCTCATCCATTTGCCACAAACACCTGCAACAGGTGAAGCTCTGCTGTTGCAGTGAGCGACTGCAAGTCTCACAGCAGCCCACAAAGGCTGTTAGAAGCCTCTACTGAAATACAACTGAGCATAATAAAATAAATCTTGAGCAATCCAAGGCTGCCAACTTCCTACATCTGCACAGAGCAGAATCTTCTGCAGTCACAGGCAAGTTTGAGAGTCAGTAAGCACAGGCACCGTGCAGCGTTATGTGGGAGCCGCAGGAGCTAACACAACGCATTGCCACCAACTCCAACGTGCCGTAGTGCAACAACAAATCACTAAAAGAGAACAAAACAGTCATTATTTCTTCTAAATGACAGAAATCTGAACGCTGAGAGGAAAATAAAGAAAGAAGGGAAAGCCGAGCGGGAACTTCTGGTTCAAGAGCGGTGCCAAGCACAGCGCTAGGGAGGAGGCACCCAGCCAGACAATTTGGCACCAGTGTCTGGAGGGGGCAGGACAGTCCCATCACGGAGGGCAGGCACCCACTCTGAGCAAAACCAGGACACGACACCCAGCAGTGGGTGCCAGCAGATCAGGGGATGACAGGAGATGTGACTCAGAAAATGAGAACCGTACTGCTGGACTGGAACCCCTATGGTACACAGGTTCTGTCATTATTAAATCACAGTTCTTCCGTTATATATGTTGTTTCTTTGTTCTTGTAGCTTGTGTAGCCCATATGTTCACAACAGATGGATCAGTGCCGTAGCTCAGTGATGTTTTTCTAATTATAGTTGGATTTATGAAATTCTTAAGGAATTTAAAAGCAAATACTCCCTGCTGAGGCAAGGTGAGTCGGCGTTTCTTCGCTGTCAAACACCAAAATCAAGGAACTGAAACTGGTAGTACTTTATTAAATAAAAAAAAAGCTAAAAGCTTATTTAAAAGATAAGACCTCAAAGAGCTGAAGGAGGCCACTAGGCAAAGTCTTGAGAAAGTGAGTATGAATCAAAGAGATCAAGGGGTAAATGAGGGTTTGCTGTGTACACAATCCAGACTCAAGGAGGACCCAGGGGCCCAGAGGACTCTCAGCCCTCATCACTGACTGTTATCAGCCAGATACTTTAAATGAATTGTTTCTATTTCTTAAGCTGCATTAAATAATTCAGTCTCAAAGAGATGAAATAAATTAGGGAGATTTAGGGTTGAAGTAACACTGTGTGATACAATTTCAGACGTCTCATAAGTAAAGACAGTGTTTGAAGGGTGAACTCAGACTTAATCTGTTGCATTTAAGTTGGCTTTAATAATTTCAGATTTTACCTAGCTCTTTACTGACTCCACTTGGATTGTGTTATAACTAATTTTGCAATACAAATGGTCGAACAAAGAGTTGTAGCTTTAGGAATTTAGCAATTCTTTAATTTCAAAAAACTGGATGACTCTGACAGCGTGGCAGACTGCGTGCTGAGCGGGCAGCACGCACTCCAGCTGAGGCAGTGCCGACTCTGCTGTGCACGTGTGTACATGTGTAAAATTACAAGATTAAATTCAAGATGCAATGAGATAACCTGTTTCCTTCCACTGTGTAAAACAACCAGTAAGCAAGATTTTATTTATTCTACTTTATAGATAAAATGACATTTTTAATTTCTGTGCATCTATTTTTCATCAGGCTCTTTTTTTTTAGGTGATCTAAAACATAACTGAGATTTTAAGAAGTGCACAGAACAAGAAAACTAAATACAACAAAACTCAGAGTCCCATCAACAAACATTGCTGCATTCCCAAAGCCTTTACTTGGATTCTCTCTACCAGCGCAGCCGTGTTTTGCAGAACGCGCGGCAGGAAGCCCAAACCGAGCAGAGGAACCGGGGGCTGAGCAGGAAGAGGCACCATGTCCCAAAGCAGCACACGTGCAGCACATCCACTTCATCTTCACAGCTTCCCTCAGGCCCACCACAAAGAGCTCCCGTGGTGCACACTCCGCAGCCACACACGTACCACTACACCCGAAAACACTCAAAAACCTGAGCCTGGCTACAGCAGCCGATGCCTCCCTCCTGCTCGCAGGCCTAGGGGAGGGCACTGCTGCTGCTTCCCTGCAATCGCGGTTTGTAAGCAACTAAGCTACACAGAAACACCAAGTACATGAGATTTTCCATTCTCATTTCCAGAGATTTTCCAAAGACTCATGTCTGCTCTCCACCAGCAACTTCAGCCACTCCTGACCCTTCTCTTCCAAAAGCCCACCCGCAGCCCCAGCCCAGAGGCCGGGGGTCCAGACGCAATCCAGAGACTGCTGGTCCCACCGCTCACTGTCATCCCAACAAACCTGAGCTTGCTTCGGAAACTTAAGTTGCTGGATTTGGGTGCGAGCTCAGGAGACTAACAACTTTGCCCAAAATTCTCCTGGAACAAAGATCATGAGTTCATGCACAGTGAAAAGAGAGGCAGTAAGCAAATAAACCTGAAGCTCTTAATAGCTCCATTGCTACAGCTCAGTTGCAAAGTCATCCCATGCTAAGAGAGCATACGCTTTTCCTAACTACTTCATTTCTATTCTTTTAACAAAAACCTCAGATACAGCTCCAGGCAGACTCCTTCAATGCTTCTTCCAAGAGGAAACTTTACTCACTGGCTTAAAATGATATTGTAATTTATGCTAATACTTTGTAATTGCCATGTATAAATGCAAGATATGCTAAATTCTCGATGATTATCAGGAAAATACATTGAAAACATATGATACCACTCAATACTCTGAAAAGGTTTTCCCTTGGAATATTTCAAAGTGGGCTTCAAGGGGAGCAAAATGTACAACAAGAGAACAATCTTGCTGCAGGGGCAAGGTGAGGCAACCTCTGGATAACAGAGAAGATCTTATTTCGCCCAAATCCATTGTCATCTAGGCAACGTCAAAGAAATTATAGTATATGAAAGCGAATTTTCATAACAAAAAAATCTACGTAAGCTTCAGGACCCTGCTATCTCAACAGCACCAAACGCTAGCAGGATTGTTTCTCTTGGTCCAAGAGTCATGGTCAGACTCTTTTTGATTAAGGGCATACGAACCAGCTATCAGTTTCACAATGCTTCCTATCTTTATCACAGGGTTTGTTCTTCAGTGAACAAGCCTGCAAAGAATTTCAGGAAAATACAGGTTATAGCTAATGTTAAATCAGAAACTTAGGTTTTCAAAACTAGAGGACTTCAACTAAATTGATCTGGGAAAGAAGAGATATTAAAACAAAAACACTAGCTCTGGATATCCTCAATAAAGCCGGTATGCGTAGCCCTGCAAGAACATGTCACAGAACAGACACTGCCACTTTGGGGAGCGCTTTTCCCACACAGCCCAGACAAACGAGGAGAGATGGCAGCGATCCCACACCAGCACAGTGGCCAGGCTGAGCCAAATCAGACCCAGACAACCTGGTGCTGCAGTGCAGTCGCAGGCTGCAGCCAGCACTCCCAGAGCCTCTCAACAGCACCGCTCACTCACACTGGAATTCCTCACTTTTATAAAACACGCAACAAAACAAGAGGGGAAAAAAAAAAGCCAGCTATGTAAATGCAAGGTTTTGCTTCAGGAACCAGGTAACAGCTGCTAAGGAGGACCATGCTGGCTGCTGCTCTTCCCATCACTCCTTGTTTGACTGTGGTGTGCCATCCAACCAACCCAACGCGTTTCAAAAGTAGATCTCATTTCACTGATCAAATACATATAAAATAAGCCACCTGCCATGTGAGAAAATGACTAATGCTTGCATCTTTTAAGCTCTTTGCTTCACCACTGAAGAAGCTTTTGAACACAGGAGCATCAGTGTTTGCTGAAAGTAACTTGCTTTTAAAACAAGATTCAAAAGGCTTAAGGAAACGTACAAGATGACGATAAAGACCAAAGGTAAATCTGAGTTAACTTACTGCTGCTGCAGCCTCCTCTCCACCTACATAGATAGAAGCAGCAATCTCCATCACGGACAAGTTTGTGGGAGCGTCCGTAGTAGATGACGATCTGGGCCGACCTGCCTGAATATCCTGGGCAGACCTCCTGTTGATCTGCGGGCTCCCCTTCGGGGCATCTGCCTTGCCCCGCCTGCTGTGCAGGCTGGTCCCCCTCTTCATTTTAGGTGGCACTCTGATCTGCTGAAGCACCCGGTTCAGAGCTGTGGGGTGGGTGGAGACACCATCAGTGTCAGCACAGACGCTTTGGCTTTCCAAATCCACGTCAGGCTCCAGGTCGGCCTGAACTTGCTGAACATCGTGCGGAGAAACCGACGACCTCCTGCGCTGATGCTGGAAAAGGTGCTTCAAGCCTTGGCCAATCACATTAATGTTCTCCAAAGCATTATGGGTTATTTTGGATAATTTTTGCTCTGATTCATGTTGCTTTTTGGTCTCTTGATCTTGGGATCTGCCTCCGGGATCAGGGTCATCACACAACTGTTCAGTGCCAGAGGGCTCCATTGGTGACACCCAACAGGTTTACTGGACTATTCATACATAAATACGCCCCCTGTCTGTGCAAGTCTTGTGTTTGTTTTGAAAATGCCAAGATTGTCAGCCAATTAGGTGTGCAATTGCTTCAAGAGCGACTACACATGCAGCTGTGCCACGGTGATCTCATGCTTATCTAATGTTAAACAAAAGAGTCATTATTATACATCCATGCAGAAAGTAGTGTGTTAAAAAAATCCAATGCGCAAAACATGCCATTAATAAAACAAAACGTATTGGTTTTCCAAGCACCCCTCCATGTGGCATTAGTGGCATCTAGGCTGTATGCAGAAGCCAAGGCTCGTGTGAGAGAAGTCATTCATCGCCAGCACAAAAGGAAAGCAAGAAAGGTAAAAAAGCTGTTCAAAAGAGGGAGAAGCAAGGAGAAACCAGTGGGTTTTTGTTTATCAAGAACATGCCCATACTGATATCTAACAGAACATCAGTTAAACTGCTGGAGAGCATGCTAGTCTCTTTGGCAGAATTAATTTTGTTCCTTGACAAAGATCTGATAATCTGTGCTTCAAATGTAATGTCTGCTCTGCCTACCTGATTTTCCTGTAGAATGTCTAACTTCACAGTATTTTAATATATGCAAGAAAACAGAACATTTCAAAATCAGTAATGCATTTCCAAACAGCAAGAAATGACTTATTACTGCCAACATCCATTGATGGCACTGGAAACTAGATGTGAAAAATGTGTCTTCAAAGCAAGAACAGGCAAGCGAAATGGTTTCAACTGGCATAGCCTTGTCCACAGTTCTCAGAGAAAACAAAAATGCCTTTTAAAAAGCAGGTTAAGCAGCCAATCTGAACAGGAGCAGCACCACACAGGTGTAGCTCAGTCCCCAGCAGAGGAAAAGCAGCTTTTCTGCAGGAGCGCTCAGCACTGGCTCTGGGCTGGGCTGAGGTGGCCACAGGACACTGGGGCTGAGCACTCAGCAGCACAGCGAGGGACAGGGGAGGACACAGGGTCCGAGCTTCACATCAGCGCCATGAGGGCACGTTCAGGAGCTGACCATTGCTTGCAGGACAAAGCTGGGATTAGGCTTTATAAATACAGAAACCGGATCACAGAGGTCTACCCCAATCTTGGCAGAAAGCAGCCCGTGCTTTAAAAAAACAACCACATTTTATTTGAAACGCAACATATGTTTGGGATCGGAGAGCATTCATTTTTATCTTAAAACAGCTGCAGAAAGATTATGCATTGAGGTTACAATTAGAGCGCTCTCAATTTTGTGCATCTGAAACCTGACACAGTGGGTTAAGCATATATTCCAAAATGCTCTCCAAACTGGCATCCAAAAATATCGAAAGAGCTGCCTCACACGCTATTTTTTTCAAATGTCATTGCTATCAGCTGGAGGCAAGAAGAAATTCAGAACTTATAGAAAGCAAAACACTGGAATCATACATGACTATCTCAGTACTCTGAACATGGTATAAGCATTGAGTCTAGATTGGCCAGTTTAATCAATAATACACTAAATGCAAAGTAATAAGCTACATCCCAGAAAAAATACATTTACCCATATTCATGCAGATATTGTGTGGCAAAATAAAACCAACCAACAAACCAACCTTTTGTTTTTACATATTTAACACTTTCTCAAATGATTTAAAGTGCCTTTATGATTAGGACTATGCTTTGACTTTTGAGCTCACCCTTTCTTAAAATTTTCTTTTCTCATGTAACAGGTTTTCCAGAAAGTTGAACTGCAGGTCTCTGCTCAATTTAAGTTTTGTGGGGAAAAAAGGGCAAAATGAGATTTTCCTTTTCATTCAACAGACCAAATGGTTCAGTGAACAAACCTGACTGGCAAAAAGAGTCCCAAAACTATTTGGTGTATAGAATACAAACCTGACAGCTGACCCATAACTGCCTTTTTTCATTTTAGCTAATTCCCTCAGTATTCATTTTTCAGCCAGGACTCACTGAAGAACTGTGGTTCATATAAAGGTGCCCCATATACTCTAATCAGTGTTTTCGTGACCTCCTGCAGGTTTTCTGTCCAGATTACCCCTGGCAATACTGATCCAGAACACCACTGCAGTCCAACCAGAGTCACGGGCATTATCTGCTGGAAACATTAACCAGCGATAATTAGCCCTGTGCCAATTCACAACCCAACCTGAAACGCATCAGCTCCCAGTCAGCTCTGCTATCCTTGCATGTGAGGTGACTGAGCTCTGAAACTACCCTGACTCTTCTCTTTAGGGGGCTCCTATAGAGAGCTCTGTGGTCATCTGTCTGTTCACATTTCTATATGAAGAGTCTGTTGTGAGCCTGAAAAGAGCTTTTCAAATTGCCTATCTGGTATGAAGATCCCTAAAACTACTTATTTGTCCTAGTATATACTTTTGGGGAGAAAAACCCACTCATAAATGTGAAGAGCTGTGAATCAGCAGGATTAGTTAGCACATTTATTTGCACAAGGATTCAAGTTTTGTGCTTGGTTTTTTCCCTACTTTTAACAACTTTTATAGTCTATTTTTTTATATTTGTTTTATATTTCTGTTGAAATGGAGTACTTTATAGCATGAAGTTCAAAACCATAGATTTCTTACTCATGTAAGAATATAATACATCAGGGACAAAATTCACAATTATGTGCACAGTCACACTGAGCAGATGTTATAACATTATTACAACCCAGAACATGTCAATATCATCCTTCATTTGTGCAATTATTTCACAGCAGCACTGGGAAACAAAACAGTTCAAAAGGAGAAACTGACAAAAACAACATCAGATAACTGAATATATAAACTAGTACTTGCCTCCATCACTTGCCCTTTAGCATGGCTGACAAACAGCAGTCCCTCCACTGAACAAAACTGCAAAAGAAATTGGATATGAGATGCAATTCCTGGAAATGGAAGGAAAGACGTACACAAACAACAAAGTGAGCATGGTTCCAACTTGTAACATTTTTTTCCTTCATTTACATGTAAGTGCATCTAGAATCTGGGTTGTTTTAAACTCTATCAAGTAACTGAAGGGATACGAATATAATTGAAGTTAAAACTGAATCTTACAGAGTTAATCAGTAAGTTCTTGTGCAGGAGCGTTTTCTCTCAGCATTTATGGCCACCAGCATGCACTGAAAGCAGCGGCAGGTTTCAGGACTCCAGCCTGCAAGGGCAGAGCAGCCCATGCAGATTCTGTTTTCTTCTCCTGTTGAGTCACCCCACTGTCCTGGGCACAGCCCAGAGCCCCGCTCTGCTGACCTGCAGCTCGCCCAAGTGCGTGAGGCTGCGAGCAGCCCTCGGCCCGTTGGGCTGGCTGTGCTCTGCCAGGAGTCCAGCACCACCAGGCCCCCAGCTCAATCCCCCCACAGCTGAACCTGTCTGCACTGAGACCTGGGAACAGACATGGTCACAGCCTTCACAGAGCCGACGGGAAGGATCCAAAGCACATCACACCCAAGGACACCATCCTGGCCCTGCTCCCCTCTCCTAAAGGGGAGAACGTGGTATTTCAAGGGATTTTGATCTGTTTAAGGTTTCTGCAACAAGCCCAAAGTACGGCCAGACGCTCACTGGAAGAACACAACAGAGGATGACAAGGACAGCTGAGAGCAGATACAGTGACTGCACTTCTCAGGCCAGACTCACATCTTATCCCGAAACACAGCAAAATCACCCAGATTTTCCAAAGGTGCCTATTTATTCAACTAGTTCCTGAAAACAGGGACACAACCTTCAGAATACACTGGCACTCAGAAGAATACTACAGGGCTCTGCACAGCTGGGGCCTTTTCACTACTTCATTACATGCCAGATTCCCACCTCCAAGACAGCAGAGATAAAGAAAATGTTAATCAGAACCACTGAAGTGGGATGCTAGAACATGAAGAAAGTGATGACACAAATACGAAGAACTTAGAAGAAAATGAATGAGAGCATTTTTTAAGATCTTGACATAGAATAAATTTCATTTCTACAATAATATGAGTGGAGAACTAGGCACAAAGTGTCAAGTATTGTTAACATATGAAGTGCCACTAACAACTTCATAGCCATTCTACTTGTCTTTTTTTGTTGTTGTTTTAATGGTATTTTTTATTACTAAGAACTGTAAGTTTCTGCCAGTGAGGTCTCCACAGACCTGCCCTACAGCACTGTAGGACCCTGTGGGTCAACAGATGCTTCTGACTCAAATTAACTCCCAGCCTTTATACTGCAGAGCCCAGCTTCCAGAGCACCCACAGATGGGCTCTGAGAGGCAAGGTCATGAAAACCACTTCAATTTTCTCCCTTGAGAATCACCGACATACAAACCAAATCTCTCATTTTCTGTCAGAAGCTCCATTTTTTTCCTTAAACTTTGGAAAGCAATTCCACTGGGCTAATCAAAATTCATTCACTTTCCTGTACCTATGAAAAGTAGACAGTTGGGTTTTTTAATGCATAATGGCTCTATTTCAGAGCCATTTACTTAGCACCAATGCTACACACAGATAATGGGGAACTTGGAGGGGCAGTAATAAATCAAGTATTGCTGGTGCTGTTTTGCTCCAGACAGCTAGATCATCTACAGGGAGAAACAGTTTGTCCCCGCTCTTTCACTTCTCTTCATCAAATACTTTGTAACATGAAAATTCCAAGTATTTGTCAAGAATCTAAGATCAAGACCAGAAGTCTGAAAATACTTTGGGCCATTAGATTTTAGCTAAACTTCATTCAAGTAAAAGCTTACTCTAAATGCATCAGTTTAACAAATTTCCTTCAAAACCAGAGTTATCTGTAAATAAAATGAACTCTGAAGTTACTACTGAAACCCAGCTTAGAGCTGAGCTATCTACAATGGGAGTACTGGGTACAAACAGTACAAAACTGGAGAAACAGGGAAGAAAAATTATTTTCAACAAAAGAAAAAAAAAGATTCTGATTTTTTGCAAAATATTTCAAATACCTGTAATTTATGCTGTGCTTGAACATCAAGAACCCTTAACATTAACGCTGAAGTACAGTTACCTAAGGAACCCTCACACTTGTTTTATTCCATAAACATTTCAGTTTAATAGCTCATCATAGAGCTGCAGTCCAGTTAGCTGGGATCGTAGGCAGGAGATGCTTCCCACTCCTCCTGTTTGAGAAAAGAAAAACATTTTTCAGTTGTTTCAGGATACGAATGGCTTCTACTAAGAAACAGCCCAGCTTTGTTGGAGAAATCTCAGATTATTTTCAGAAACTCATCCGAAAGCAGATTCTGTATCAAGGTAAACAGTTTGGTAAGAAAGCCCAGAGGGGCAATCCTCACACTGGAAAAACACGTATTATGGGAACTGGGAGCCCTAGCAAGTGCTTTATGTCCATAGGAGGACCAGAACCCTTCAAAAGCACCATTGTTCAGCAGTAACAAGCAGCAGGGCAAATCAGGAGAGAAAGCTCTGGGTGTTCACAGCTAACCCTGCCAGAAAGAGGAAGTTACAAGAAACAGGAATGGGTGTCAAATTCAAGGGGACTGCGGTCTGGAAAACATTCAAAGAGGAAGACAACCGTAACAGAGTAAATACTGTGACCCCACAGAAAAATTGGATAGCGCATGACTGCCCAATACCTAGAGAAACAGGTATATTTAGCTATTATAACATAACAATTTTTTTAAGTCAGAGTGGAGAACTGGGCAAGAATGGAAGAAAAAGACATAGAAGAAAACTAAATGCAAGGAAGACGGGTAAGACAGCAGAATATGATGGGGGGGAGGGGAAGATAAAACAATACTATTTTTCATGGAAAGGACACCTGTAGTTTTCAAGACAATTCTTCCTTCTCCTCCTCCTCCAAAATTCACCCAAGAAAAGATTTCCTGGAATTCCAGTGAGATCCACAAGAAAAACCAGCGCCTATATATATAGATACATATAAAGCCCCTCCACCTGGCCACAACCCTGACACTGACAGTGCTCTCTGTGAGAACAGGAAGCAAGCATGGCTTAAAGAGCCAACTGAAGGACAAGAACTAAGACTCGGCACATTAAATAGTGCAGCTGGGGGATGAGGGGAAAAAACAGGTTCAAGCAGGCCAAGCTCCTGCTGAGGTTCTGCACCTGAGATTTTAGAAAAGGGGGGTGGCCCAAAGCCAGCTACTTTTGATGAAACAGGCCCAAGGAATTCACCAAATTAATTCACAGTGCCCTGGGAAAGGAGCCCAAGGCATTCAATACAGCAGGAGAGGACGCACCAAAGGGGGGAAAACCACTGCTGTAATAGGACACAGGACACCAGGCAAAGCAAGGGTCCTACAGCCTGTTCCTAAAGCCAGCTGTACAGTGTTACAGAGCAGAATCAACACAGTGGGACAGCAACAGGTTTTACCGATTCCTGCCTAATGATTTCCCTAAACCCTCCAACCTATTCCCACCACTACCCAGAAGTCAGGAAGTCAGGCAGGTGAGTGATGCCATCGCTGCTGTCCTTGCTCTCCCCTTCTGCTCCTCAGACCCAGCATGAGTTGTTTGGTGGGTGAAGCACAGGCCAAGGCCAGACACCCTGGGCTGGACCAGCATTGCCAGTCTTGTCCAAAGGCTTCAAGCAAGGTGGCCCCTATGCCCAATGTTTTCCTGTCTGCAAAGCATGAACAACCCAGCTAGCTGAAGGAGAGAAACAGAGGGTGATACCAGCAAAGGTACTTCAATAAAATGCTTTATAATGGAGGAAAACACTTCGATTCCTTTGAAGGCAATGTGTACAGGTATCAGATAAGAATAACTCAGAACGTCAAGCTGCTGAATTTTATAAAAGTAGCCAACTGTATTATTTTGGTAAAAGGATTAAGCCAACTGACACACGCGCTATCAGTTTTTCGTGTAGCAGTCCCACGCCTCACTCAATAAACCACAGGTGATCATATGAATCTTAAAGAATACAAAAACTCGCTCCAGAGCACTGTTAATAAGAGAGGCTGGCAGTGTGTTTATGCATTCACCGTTTCTGCCGCTCCGTCCGTTAATGGTTCACAGGCTTGTACTGTGCGAGGGCAGCACAGCCACAGAGCAGCAGAAGGTGATTTTTCAACATCAGCCTTCTCAGACCCACATCCTGCTGACAGTTCCTTCCTACAACTTTATATTTAACACTGCTGACCAGCAAAACCAATGCATGCAGCTTTTTGTTCCTGAAAGCCCAAATATTAATCCTGTAGATAAATTTGCACTCAAGTCAGATGAGCAGATACCAAACACCTTCTTAACAGGTGACAGATCCCTTTCTCCTTCCAATTATTTTTTGAGAAACATCTTCCTGAATACACCCACATGGGAATCAAGTCCACAGTGTAAGGACCATAGACTCAAATATCAAAGATCAATGGGGTAATTTTCCTTGTATATTAGGAAACTGCAATGGCTTAAAGTTGAGTGCCTGGCTTTTAGAAATATTTCTACTGCTTTGCAGTAGAACCAATTGCCACGAAAATCTTTTTCATCCCTCTTTGAGCATTCCAGCAACTCAGTATTTATGCTGTTGCCTGAATCAAAGCTACATAGTAGAGGCCAAGACTTCCCCAAAATGAAGAAACATGCAGGGGTACCAATATATAATAATTCAGGTTTTTGTATGTGCTATAAGCATCACATGAAAACCAAAGCAAAATATTTCAGCTATATTCCTATAGCTTGCAACCTGTAAATTCACTGGAGACTTTCCAAGCCGCACTGCTGTGCCCAGAGCTGGTGTTCCAGAGCAGCCCAACTGTCGGGCACAGTCACGGCTTCCACAGCACAGCAGTTTCCTGTTCTTCCTTCCAGAAAGCACCGTTTATCTTTAGAGCGCTTCCTTCACCCCAGTGAATTTCTTAGCTACATAAAGTACATTACTGTAACAGGTGAGTA